AAAAAAAAAAAAAAAAAAAAAAATGATTTTTCAAAAAAACTTAAAGAAAATTGAAGTAGACTTTTTGATAAACTGTAAAATACCCATTTTAAGATTAAGGGATTCAAGTCTAGAGTGCTAAAATGTCATTCTGACCTCTACACTTAAAGCTTGGGACAGCAGAAAAAATAAGAGCGTGGGAAGCAAGCAAATGTGGTCTGGAACTATCCCATAAAAAACAGCCACTGTTACTTAAGAGTTGCACTTTCAGAAAAAACAAAACAAAACAAAACAAAACAAAACTTCCTTGGAGCTTTCTTATATGAAAATGTCCAAGATTATGCAACATATAGTCTGAAATGCTACTTGATATGGTTATACTTCACCAAAATGAAGTATAAGAATGTTCTGTCCTAGAACAACATTTAAGTCTCTGAAAAGATGGCAAAAACCACAGGCAAAACAGTAATGCTTAAAAAAGACCCCGAAGTCAAGTTTTAAATAATCCATTTTATAGTATTTTGAAAATAAAATTATAACACATCTTTATAGTAACTTTTTACTAATTTATTTTCTTAATTAATTATATGCTTAAAGAACTTTCAAAGAACATGAGATTACCAGAGCCAGGTTAAACTTCATCTAGGCTACTCAGAATATTTTGTATATCCTTTTCTAATCCCCATTTTCCTTCCTTCTCTTCTCTCCCCACTCCCTTCTTTCCTTCCCTCCCTTCCTTCCTTTCCTAGAGAAAGCTTATTAGCAGATCCATTAATAGATTCTCTCTATATAAATTTTAGAATACATTTGTTGATATACACAAAATAACTTGCTGAGGGCAGCACCTGTGGCTCAAAGGAGTAGGGCACCGCCTCATATACCAGAGGTGGCAGGTTAAACCCAGCCCTGGCCAAAAACTGCAAAAAAATAAAAAATTAAATAATAAAACAAATAAATGACTTCCTGGGATTTTGATTGGGATTGCATTGAATTTAAGGAAGGAAAAATTGACAAGTTAGGAAAAATTGACATCTTGATAATACTGAGTCTTCCTGTCTGCTATGGTGTTGCCCCAGAATTGTTAAAATCTTAACTTCCAAGGTGATTTTATTAGGAGAGGACCTTTTGGAGGGTAATTGGGTCACAAGGATGAAACCTTCATCAATGGGATTAGTGGCATTTATTGTAAAATAGGCCAAAGGGAACTCATTCATCTCTTCAACCATGTGAAGCCACAGTAAGAAGGCTCCATCTACGATTTGGAAACAAGTCCTTGCTAAACACCATCTCTGCTAATATCTTAATCGTGAACTTCCCAGACTCCAAAACTGTGAGAAATAAATT